TAGAGTGCCAGATGAACTGCAAAAAAACCAACCAAAGTACAAAGTCCACACAGGGCTTCAAGGTTTAATCCGAACAGAATGAACGACTTTGCTTCCTGCAAAGGTTTCTCTACCTTTGCCTGTCCTGTATACCTTATGGGAGGGACAATCACCTCCAAGCCTTACTCCCAAATCGGCCCTTTTGTCTTAGCTGCTCTTGCCTTCTAGCAGCTCTGTGCATACGTGCACTGGGAACAGGCTCCCCCTGTTCCTCTTCCTCACTGCTGTCAGATTATGGAGGCTCTGGACTCAGCACCCCACACCCAGATGGCCTTGGCCCCATCTCTGCGTCAGACGCAGGACCATCGCCCGAGTCCTCTCCAGGCTCCCAGGCTGGTCCCCTTTCTCCCCCACTGTCCGATGTTGCTGCCGTCCGCACAGGCTGCCGGCGAACCACAACAATTTGGGTCACAAATATGCTAAAGGATGAGCTGTCCGTCAAGTTTGTGATCCCCTCCCCTCCTCGCACGGTGTGACAAAATGGTGTGACCAAACTCCAAATTGTCCGTTTTTGCTTCTCCTTTCAGTGCTTCAGCTCTTCTGCAGTTCGCCGAAGCCTGTTCTGAGATACGCGGCGGTCAGGACCCTCAATAAGGTAAGCGCTATCAGAGGGGGCCCCGTCTGTCACAGTGGTCCTCAACTTACGACCGCAACTGAGCCCACGATATATGTTGCGAAGGGAAAACAACATTTGTTGCAGGGAGTTTGTCCCATGGTACGACTTTCCTTGCCGCCTTTTTTTTAAGCGAATTGCCGCCGTTGTTCAATGAGTCACGCAGTTGTTAAGTGAACCTGGCTTTCCACCACCCCCATGGACGTAGCTTGTCAGAAGGTCGTAAAAGGGGATCAAATGAGCCCGGGAAACGCTGCCACTGTCGTAAATGTGAACCGGTGACCGAGCATCCGAATGTCAATCACCTGGGGATGCGGCGACGGTCATAAGTGTGAGAAATGTTCACGAATTGCTCTTTTCAGGGCCGTTGTAACTTCGAACAGTCACTACGTGACGTGTTGTAAGTTGAGGACCACCTGTGTTTATTTATCAATTAAATTTAGATGCTATTTGTGTCACCGTCAGGCAACTGGGCGCAACTTTTACAACGTGGTAAAAGCAAGGACCAAACGTTACAACATTAAACACGTACAGTCCTCCTCTTATGACGGTTCTTTTAGTCAGCAAAGTTACAAGGGTGCTGAAAAAAGTGACTTTGGACCATTTTTCATACTTAACGACCATTGCAGCGTCACCACAGTCAGATGATTTACATTCAGCCGCTTGGCGGCTGACTCACATTTATGACAGCTGCAATGTTCCAGGGTCATGTGATCCCCTTTTGCGACCTTCGGACAAGCCAAGTCAATGGGGTTCACTTAACAACGGTGTTACCGAATTAAAAGCTGCAGTGATTCACTTAATTACATCAAGGAAGGTCATAAAATAGAGGAAATCTCATTTAACAACTGCCAACTTACCAAAAATGTTTTCTTTTACATTTTATTTTATTTTGTTACTTTACTTATTTTATTTTATTTTACTTTAATTTTATGTTTTATTACTTTAGTTTTATGATTTATTTCATTGCATTTTATTTTTATTATTTTATTTTACTTTATTTTATTTTAGATTTTATTTTAGCTGATTATTTTATATTGCATTTTATTTTATCTTATTACTTTATGATTTATTTTATTGCATTTTATTTTATTTTACTTTATATTTTATCTTATTGCTTTATTTTATTTTAGATCTTATTTTATTTTATCTTACTACTTCAGTTTAGTTTTGTTTACAATTTATTGCATTTTATTTTATTATTTTATTTTACTTTACTTTATTTTAGATTTTATTTTATCTGATTACTTCTTTTATATTGCATTTTATTTTATTGTTTTATGTTATTTTTACTTTATTTTATTTTATATTTTATCGTGTTACTTTAGCTTAGTTTATGATTTATTTTATTTCATGTTATTGCATTTTATTTTATGGTTCTATTTTATTTTAGATTTTAGATTAATCATTGGAGGCTGCAGGATTCCTATTGGCAGCCTTCCTGTAAGCCTTTCTGGGATGTACTTTCAGGTGGCAATGAAGCATCCATCCGCCGTGACAGCCTGCAATTTGGATCTGGAGAACCTCATCACCGACTCCAACCGCAGCATCGCCACGCTGGCCATCACCACCCTGCTGAAGACTGGCAGCGAGAGCAGCGTGGACCGGCTCATGAAACAGATCTCCTCCTTCGTCTCCGAGATATCAGATGAGTTTAAGGTCAGCCTTCTAAGTATGAAGCCTGGCCTAGCTGGCTGGGGAATGCTGGGAGTTGAAGTCCGGCCTAGCTGGCTGGGGAATTCTGGGAGTTGAAATATGGCCTAGCTGGCTGGGGAATTCTGGGAGTTGAAGTCCGGCCTAGCTGGCTGGGGAATTCTGGGAGTTGAAGTCCGGCCTAGCTGACTGGGGAATTCTGGGAGTTAAAGTATGGCCTAGCTGGCTGGGGAATGATGGAAGTTGAAGTCCGGCCTAGCTGACTGAGGAATTCTGGGAGTTGAAGTCTGGCCTAGCTGGCTGGGGAATTCTGGGAGTTGAAGTCTGGCCTAGCTGGCTGGAGAATTCTGGGAGTTGAAGTCCGGCCTAGATGACTGGGGAATGCTGGGAGTTGAAGTCTGGCCTAGCTGGCTGGAGAATTCTGGGAGTTGAAGTCTGGCCTAGCTGGCTGGAGAATTCTGGGAGCGTCATTAAAGTGGCCAAGCTCGAGAGGTGCCATCTTAGAGAGACGGACTCTTGTGTCCTGCCTACATCTCTCCATCATATAAGGTCAACCTTCTGCAACTGATGCCCTCACGTTGCCCAAATGAAGATAGTTTTGTTTCCCAGAAGCTGTTTAATTGACCTGACACAGAGAACCGACCGGTCCTCACTTAACGTCGTATTGTTGTCGCCTTACAGGTGGTCGTGGTCCAAGCCATCAGTGCTCTGTGCCAGAAGTACCCACGGAAACACAGCGTCATGATGACCTTCCTGTCCAACATGCTTCGGGATGACGTAGGTCTCTTTGTCTCCATTAGAGGCTCCTGCAGCGCCCCCTATTGGGGGAACTTACTTAGGGCACTCCCGGAAACATGTCTTGAGACCTATAAACTTGACAAGCCTAGAGACCCCAGAACAGTGGGGGCTAATCCATTTTGGGCTCCCATACCGAAAATTGTGCACGCACTCGCACTCGCGTGCCAGCATCCCAGAAGGCAATGCGCGTGCACAACACCCACCTTACCCCGCACCCTCTTACCTGCACTGTGCATTTTCAGCCCATTTGAGGCCCTTTTCAGCCCTTTCCCTGAGGCTCGAGGGAAGCCTCTGCAGCTTCGGGCGGCCGAAAAACGGGCCCGTTTCACTTCCTGTATTTCCGGAAGGCCCGTTTTTTGGGCTCCTGAGGCCGCAGAGGCTTCCCTCGAATGTCAAATGGGCCGTAAATCAGCTGGGAAGCGCACGCATGCGCAGTGGAGGTAAGTTTGGCTGGGGGGGTCACATGCCCGCACAAATGACTCCGCGTGCCACAGGTGCCGTAGGTTCGCCATCACGGCCCCAGAACGAGAAAGTCTTTTACAGTCGTCCTCGACGTACGACTGTAACATAGCCACGATGGTCCGCCGGGACGTTAGTAAAGCGGGTCATGTTGGGGGTTTATTGCAGAAATTCAGATCCAGAAAGCACACACAGATGACTGATTCAACCGGATTCATTCGCTTCTTTATATACATAATCATCCCGAGAGCCAGAAACGAGTGGCACTTATTATTTGCAAGGGGATAACTTTTATCTTTACCTCAAATATTGGAAGACTGCTGTCATGTCACCCCCAATCCTTCTTTTCATTAAAGAAGTTGTGCCATAGTCCTCGACATATAATCGTTCACTTAATGATCGCTCGCTACGACAGTACTGGGAAAAAAAGGGACTTATGACCAATTTTCACACTTAACAGCCATTGCAGCATCCGCACGGTCACAAGATCCAAAATTGGCTTGGCAACCGATACCTATTTATGACAGTCGCCCTGTCCCCCAGGGTCACCTGTTCCCCTTTTCGATGACCTGAGGAAGCCAGATTCACTTAACAACTGTATTACTCAGGGGTGGGATTCAAATGTCTTAACAACTGGTTCTGTGGGTGTGGCCTAATTTATGGGTGTGGCTTGGTCATGTGACTGGGTGGGCATGGCTTGCTGACTGAGTGTGGGTTGGTGGTCACGTGACTGGGTGGGCGTGGCTTGTATGTAAATATTGCAAATTTTTATGTAAATATTGAGTTCTTTATTTTAAAAAAGATCAATTTTTACCCAAAATCAGACAAAGCAGGCAGGCATTGCTTACAGAATCACAGTTTCACTTAGAGATCTATCTTTCTGCAATCTGCTACCTGAGTCTGCACTAAAACAAAAATAGAAGCTTCGGTCCTAAGGAAGGTTCGGCTCTGCTTTTAAATTAGCTAGAAAGCAAGAAATCCAATTCCTGCTTTGTAGCTAATGTAAATCTCCCAGCACAGCAGAACAGCTGATGGTTGAAAAAGAAAAAAAAAAGAGGAAAAATAGCAACTTAGCAGGCACCTTTGCCAGGTAAGGAGTGAGTACGCAGGGAGGAGTCGGTGCGCAGCCTGTGAAAAGCCTCTTCGTTCCTGCTTTTTCAACCTCAGTTGCGCCGCGCAAAGCAGCGGAGGTTGAAAAAGCAGGAAATAAAGGACAGCCAAGAACCCGGGCAGGTGGGCCAACCAGTTCGGTGTCAGCTGCTCTTCCGAACTACCAGTTCTATAGAACCGGGCCAACCCGGTAGCATCCCACCCCTGGTATTACTCACTTAACAACTGCAGCGGTTCACTTAACAAACGCGGCCAGAAAGGTCTTAACAACAGTCTTAAAAATTCAACTGCCTCGCTTTAGCAACAGGGATTGCGGTCGTACGTTGGGGACTAGCCGCCATTCTGCTGCTGCACACCCGTGTTTTGTCTGCCTCCCGCAGGGCGGCTTCGACTACAAGCGGGCCATCGTGGACTGCATCATCGGCATCATCGAAGAGAACCCCGAGAGCAAAGAGACGGGCCTGGCCCACCTCTGTGAGTTCATCGAAGACTGCGAGCACACAGTGCTGGCGACCAAGATCCTCCACCTACTGGGCAAGGAGGGGCCCAGGACCCCCACCCCTTCCAAGTACATCCGCTTCATCTTCAACCGGGTGGTGCTGGAGAATGAAGCCGTTCGGGCTGGTGAGTTTCGCGGGGGAGGGGGGGGGGGAGGTTTGGCAAACTGTGAGACCAAGAAGGAGAAGATCTGTCGCCTGCTGGACAGAATCTCTAGATGGGTGTTCGTCAACTTTGTGTCAGGATTCCAGCCATCGCCCACATTAAATCATGATTCTCGAGCCAAACTTCAAAAACCTTCAAAGGATTTATTAGGAGCAACATGTCAGCATTAATCTAAAATGAAACCAACTCTGCCCTACGTCATTTACAGTCCCCTTTGCCCCCTCCCACCTGGGTGTGTCATAAATCGGATTCTCCAATTGAGCACCTTCACATTCTCCAATCAAAAATATTCCCGAGCAAAAGCTCTGGTAGTTTAGTTACAACCTTTTAAAGATAAAGAGTTGGAATGGACTTTGTCTTCCAGACTGCTGCACGGCTCTTCCAAATTTCCTTCCTCCCCCACTTTTCTATGGCAACTACTAAAAGAGGCCTAGGGATGTTTTATGAGTTGACACTTTGACAACTTTCAAAATATGCGTTGATGGAGGATCTCCGCCATCCCAGTCATCCCAAAGGTGCTTTTATTCCCCAAGAGATGTTATAGGGGTTATGTCGGCTGTGTAGGCAGTACTAAACCCTTTCTAGCATTCATCTCCATTGTTCTGTGATGCATTTCCTGTCTCTCTAGGATTTACCTCTATCTGCTCCTGTGAGGCAATTCCTGGTTCCTGTTTTTTGTGTGTATTTGTGTATGTATCTATATGTAGGTCTAGGTGTGTTCGGGTCTTTTCCCGTGTAAGATTAATGTTACATGGGAAAAAAACCGAACACACCTAGACCTACATACCTGTACCCGTGAAAATCTACGAAAACATGTATGTATGTGTGTGTGTGTGTATATATATATATATGTGTGTGTGTGTGTGTGTGTGTGTGTTTTCTGAAGATTTCGCGGGTATTTGTATGTGGATCTTTGGTTATTCGGGTTTTCTCCCACATAAAATTGAAAGTATCTAGGCAACGTTTCGATGAAGTCTCATTCATCATCTTCAGGCTTGTGTCTTCGGCTCTGTGCTTCTCAGAGTGATGTGAGCTTGCAGCTGCTTCTTCCTTTTAACTGCTAGTGGGGGTGTGACTTGATTGGGTGGGAGCTTGGCTGTGTTCTGAGCCGAAGACACAAGCCTGAAGATGATGAATGAGACTTCATCGAAACGTTGCCTAGATACTTCCAATCTTACGCGGGAGAAAACCCGAATAACCAAAGATCCACATACAAATACCCGCAAATATATATATATATATACACACACACACACACACACACACACACACATACATATACATATATACATACATACATACATACACACACACACACACACACACACACTCCCAGTAACGGCTTATGACTTTTAACTGCATTTTGATTAAACTTCTTGAAACAAGACGCAACTGGACTTTCTTGGTTTTTTTCTTTTTCTTTGAAGACATTTCTCTTCTCGTCCAAGAAGCTTCTTCAGCTCTGACGTGGATGGTGGAGAATGGAAGGATTGATATTCCTTGCAGACAGCTGGTCGTTTGCATCCTTTTTAGAGAACCATTGAGGCACCTATAGACTTTTAGCTATGCATTTTGGGATGGACACTCTTTGAATGGTGGGGGAGGTTTGAAGGGATTTCCAGAAAAAAAATGGCAGACTGCGGGAAACATTTGCACCACTCAGGTGACCCTGAGGACACAGAGAAACCTCCAAGTGGCCTCAATGACCCTCTAAAAGGATGCAAATGACCAGCTGTCTGCAAGGAAGATAAATCCTTCCATTCCTTACGATCCTGTCAGAGAAGAAGCAGCTTCTTGGATGAGGAGCGAAATGTTGTCAAAGAAAAAAAACAGAAGCTCACCCAGACTACCAAGCCAGAAAGATTAGGGAATTCTATCTTAGAGCATAAAAATCAGTGGTGGGATTCAATTTTTTTTTTTACTATGGGTTCTGTGGGCGCGGCTTGGTGGGCGTGGCAGGGGAAGGATCCTGTAAAATCTCCAGTCAGAGGGTGGGATTGGCCGGTTCTCCGAACGACTCCAAATTCCCGCTACCCGTTCTCCAGAACGGGTCAGAACCTGCTGAATACCCACCTCTGATGAAAATATTGAAAAGGAAAATAGGAACATCGCCAGCTCCAACACGACGAAGCGGATCAAAGGAAACCATTAACCTTTTGCCTCCAACCTGCCTTCCCCTTTAGCGGCCGTCAGCGCTCTGGCCAAGTTTGGGGCTCAGAATGAGAATCTCCTGCCTAGCATTTTGGTGCTCTTGCAGAGGTGAGTTCAGCCCTACGCACCTACCGTATTTCCCCCAAAATACGACCTACCCCGAAAGTAAGTCCTAGCTTGATTTTTTTTTACTCGTGCACCCAATATAAGCCCTACCTCCAAAATAAGCCCTAATTAAGATCCCGCCCACTCCAGAGCGGACAGGTAAATATTAAACTAGGGTGGGGATGGCAGGGTGGAGCTGCCCTACTACTTACCTTTGGACAGGTGTAGCCAGGCCTCGCACACCCCGACACCTGCCTTGCGGGCCCATTTCTTCTGCAGCCGGCAAGGCTGGCAAGGCTCCAAATGGATTCTCTCTTTTCTTGGCTCCCAAAAGCTGGCCAGGCCTGGCCAAGGATACCTTGAAACGACGGTGAAGCCATATCTGGCTATGTTCGTTTTTCTCGGCTTTCGTTGGAGGTTGAACTGAATGACCTGATCGAAAACGGGGTGATTTCGACCAGGGAGGGTAGAGGCCCCGTTTCGGTGTTTAGGGAGGGCTGGGCGACTTCGGGCCAGTCTCTCTCTCTCTCTCTCTCTCTCTCTCTCTCTCAGCCCAACCCACCTCACAGGGTTATTGTAGGGAAAAGAGGATGGGGAACATTCATTGGATATAGCACTTAGGAGTAGCACTTAGACTTATACGTCGCTTCACAGTGCTTTTACCCCCCTTTCTAAGCGGTGTACAGAGTCAGCCACTTGCCCCCCCCCCCTTACAATCTGGGTTCTCATTTTATCGGAAGGATGAGTCAAGCTTGAGCCAGTCAGGATCGAACTGCCAAACTGCTGGCAGCCAGCTGCATATCTCTGCCACCTTGAGTTATTTGTAAAGATAATAAAGGCAGGATAACCTAACAAAATCTAAAGAGGCGAGAGGTATGTGTGTTTCTGGACTTCGTGGGCTTAAGCTGACTGTTCATAAGTTGCATTTTAAGGCTGGTCGTTTTTGTCCACGAAGAAGCTTTCAACCAGTGTTGGTCTTACATTTCTTCTTTTGCTTCCTCCTCCTCCTCCTCCTCCTCCTCCTCCTCCCCCCCCCCCCCCCCCCCCCCCCCCCCCCCCCCCCCCCCCCCCCCCCTCCCCCCCCCCCCCCTCCTCCTCCTCCTCCTCCTCCTCCTCCTCCTCCTCCTCCTCCTCCTCGCAGGTGTGTGATGGACAGCGATGATGAAGTCCGGGACCGAGCCACTTTCTACCTAAACGTTCTGCAGCAGAGACAGCTGACTCTCAATGCGGCCTACATCTTTAATGGTAGGTGGCAGAATAACAGAACTGGAAGGGACCTTGGAGGTCTTCTAGTCCAACCCCCTGCTCAAGCAGGACACCTATAACATGCCAGACAAATGGATGTCCAATCTCTTCTTCAAAACCTCCAGTGATGGAGCCTTCAAAACTTCTGGAGGCAATTTCTTCCACTGATCAATGTGTCTAGCCCTCAAGAAATTTCTCCTTAATTCCAGGTTGCTTTTCTCCTTGGTGGGTTTCCACCCGTTGCTTCTCGTCCTGCCTTCTGGGGCTTTGGAGACTAGCTGGACTCCCTCTTCTTGGGGGCAGCCCCTCAAATATTGGGACATTGCTCTCATGGCACCCCCTAGTCCTCCTCTTCACTAGACTAGACGTACCCAATTTTTGCCACCGTTCTTCGTATGTTTTAGCCTCCAGTCCCCTAATCATCTTCATTGCTCTTTTCTTCACAGAGCCTCAACGTGTTGTTTTTTTTATAATACTGGATTCAAATGTTCCAAATGTGCCCTTACCAAGGCCTTATAAAAGTGGCATTAATCCTTCACGTGATCTTGATTCTATCCTTTTTGTTCATGCAACCTAGGATTGCACTGGCTTTTTTGATAGCCGCTACGCACTTGCTGGCTTATCTTTAAGGGATCATCCCCCAGGACTCCAAGATCCCTCTCTCAGTTACTACTCTTGAGCCAGGTACCACCTATTCTGGGTACCTGTGCATTTTGATTTTTCTCGCCTCAATGTAAAACCTTCCTTTTTTTTTTTCCACCGCTGAATTTCATTTTGTTAGATAGCGCCCCCATCTTCAAATCCGTCCAGATCCTTCTGGATCATGATCCCATCTTCTGGAGCATTGGCTATTCCTGCCAGCTTTGGTATCATCTGCAGTGGCTTCCACAGTTCTCCGCTGCATTCAGCCCCGTGTCACCCTGGGGGCCTTCGAGCTCTTCTGAACGCCTCCTGGTTTCAAAGCCCCTTTCTTGTCTTCGGCAGGTCTGTCCGTCTCCATTCCCGGCATGGAGAAGGCCCTACACCAGTACACGCTGGAGCCTTCGGAGAAGCCTTTCGACCTGAGGTCCGTGCCGCTGGCCACGGCCCCCACCTTCGAGCAAAAAGCAGGTACTGGATTCGAGGGTTGTCAGGCTAACAACCAAGCTCAGAAGACCAACAAGGTCCCCCACAGTCCTCCTCTTCTCCACAAACCCCACTCTCCTTTCTACCACATTTCCCCGAAAATAAGACCCTGTCTTCTATTTTCTTGGCCACCAAAAAAAGGCACCAGGTCTTATTTTCAGGGGATTTCATCCACTGATTTCATCCACTGCCCCCCGGCCTCTTTTTCATTGTTGGAGGCCTTCAGGAACTACTACTTCTGCGGCAGGCAAGGCTTTCCTGAAGGCCTCTGCAGCCTTCAGGATCGATCCAGAGCTTTGTTCTCAGCTCCAGAGGCCTTCAGGAGAGCCTTGCCAGCCTTAATTGCTGCAGAAGAAGAAATGGGCCGGCCAGGCAGGTGTCGGGGTGTGCGAGGCCTGGCTACACCTGTCCAAAGGTAAGTAGTAGGACAGCTCTACTCCCCCCAATCCCCACCCTAGCTTAATTGTTACCCATCCACTCCAGAGTGGATCTTAAGTAGGGCTTATTTTGGGGTAGGTTTTATATTGGGCGCACGTGTAAAAATCAAGATAGGACTTACTTTCGGGATAGGTTGTATATTTTGGGGGAAAGAGGATAGCACTGATGATGTTTACGATGGTTCAGCGTTTTTTTTCAAGTGGGACCACTCTGTCAGGGCAAATATACAAAACTGTTTTTTGTGTTAAATTTATGTTTTACCGACAAAGAAATAAAGCGAGACCAGTATAGATCTATTTCAAGCTATTTAGCTCTCGGCAGCTAGCCATACCCTTCTGGAATTCGAACTCTGGGCTGCTTACATACGCTGTTTCCCCCGAAAATACAACCTACCTGGAAAGTAAGTCCTAGCTTGATTTTTACGTGGGTGCCCAATATATGCCCTACCCCCCCCCAAATAAGCCCTAATTAAGGTCCCACCCACTCCAGAATGCATGGTTAAAAATTAAGCTAGGGTGAGGATGAGGGGGTGGAGCTGCCCTGCTACTTACCTTTGGACAGGTGTAGCCAGGCCTCACATGCCTTGACACCTGCCTTGCCAGTCCATTTCTTCTGCAGCCGGCAAGGCTGGCAAGGCTTTCCTGAAGGCCTCTGTATCTGAGAACAAAGCTCTGGATCGATCCTGAAGGCTGCAGAAAAAGGAATTCCTGAAGGCCTTCCGACAGCAAAAAGGAGGCGGGGGGCGACGTGCCCAAGTGAGGTTAGTCAGTGGAGGACGTCCCCCAAAAATAAGACCTGGTGCCTTTTTTTGGTGGCAAAAAGAAATAAACAAGACTGTTCAGAGTTTTTGCAGTGTTAATTCAGCGCCAGAAAAATAAACCCAGATGACTGATGCTTCTTTTAACATCTTTATAAACCCAATAAGTAGATTTTACAATACCAGTGGTAGATTTCTCCCAACATGCAGCAAACTCAGAGAGAAACAGACATCAGTTTCACTTTAGTTCAGCAGGCAAGCAGGACACACAGCAGAGGAGAGAAGCAGTTTCATTTTCAGTAGACAGACTCAAAGCTCAACATCGCTTCAAAGCTGCAGAGCTTAATATAGAGCCACGCCTAGGCTGCTTCTAGTTTCAGTTTCCAGCCTAGGCTGCTTCTAGTTTCAGTTCTAGTTTCAGTTTCCAGCCTAGGCTGCTTCTAGTTTCATTTTCCAGCCTAGGCTGCTTCTAGTTTCAGTTCTAGTTTCAGTTTCCAGCCTAGGCTGCTTCTAGTTTCATTTTCCAGCCTAGGCTGCTTCTAGTTTCAGTTCTAGTTTCAGTTTCCAGCCTAGGCTGCTTCTAGTTTCATTTTCCAGCCTAGGCTGCTTCTAGTTTCAGTTCTAGTTTCAGTTTCCAGCCTAGGCTGCTTCTAGTTTCATTTTCCAGCCTAGGCTGCTTCTAGTTTCAGTTCTAGTTTCAGTTTCCAGCCTAGGCTGCTTCTAGTTTCATTTTCCAGCCTAGGCTGCTTCTAGTTTCAGTTCTAGTTTCAGTTTCCAGCCTAGGCTGCTTCTAGTTTCAGTTCTAGTTTCAGTTTCCAGCCTAGGCTGCTTCTTGTTTCAGTTTCCAGCCTAGGCTGCTTCTTGTTTCAGTTTCCAGCCTAGGCTGCTTCTTGTTTCAGTTTCCAAACTGTCTTCATTGGCTGATTTAGTTGCTATGCCTATTCGTTGGCTGCCCTTGTTACCATTCCACTTCATGAATCTACTCTGACAAAGACAGGGTCTTATTTTCGGGGAAAACACAGTATTAGAACGATGTATTAACCTCTAAGCCACGGGCTCTCCTAGCTCTGTCGGCTATACCAGGGGGGAGATTAAGTGG